GGGTTAGGGTTAGGGTTAGGGTTAATGTTAGGGTTAGAGTTAGATGCTATGTAGCCAAAACAAAATTCCTTCTAGAAAGCCAAGGTCATCCTTTGTCTCTGCACCTCTGCACCTGACCAAAACTGGATGGGTGGAACTGCCAGCTTGGTAGTGGAAGATTGGACCATGTGATGTGTGTGTGCATGTGGGCAAGATTTGAACTTTCAACTGGGTGGGGAAAACCAGGAAGCTTTCAGATTCGTGTTTTCTCAGATGTGCCAAAACGGCTCTCTTAATAAATTGGAATTACAAGCAATACTTTGCCTTGGACTCTGATTTAACCCTGACATTAACCCGAATCTCCATTAAAATACTTTGCCAGCTACCCCAAAATTCGGGGTGCTATCTGGTGTCCTGAGCCCCAGCACCGACCCAAGCTCAGGTGACACAAAGATTCAGGGAAGATAAAGGAGAAGAAGCCCACGGAGAAAGCAGTAGATGATGGATCTCCTATCTATGTCGAGACCATCTATGTGCCTTCCAAAACTGTGGTCAAAGCTGCAGATGAGCAGAGAGGGAATGCCAGTGGGGAGCCAGGAGCAAAGAGCCGGCCCCTATGCATCCCTCACAATCAGAACTAAATCTGCAAGGTGAAGCCTCAGGATTTACTTCTCCTAAGGAGTTGCTGTTGGAGCCACAGGGGTGTGCAAGATCAGCCTCAATCCATGAGTGGAGGGGAACAAAGCAGGCGCCAATTGGGTGCTCTGATGATTGGGGAATCCCAGCCACCCTCATACAATCAGTCTCTGACCAGCCTCCCAGACCAATTTGGATAGCTGAACATGAGTGGAATCAATCCTTGCCTTAGCTCTGAACCACCCAGGTGGACCGTGGCCCAGCCAACATGCACCTTCCTAGGTCAAGTCTCCACAATGCAGTGGAGGCCCAGCTGAAGGGCTCTTGCCAAACCCAGATGAAGGAAGCAGGGGGGATAATGACCCAATGATCAGGGACCTCGTCTGACCATTCGCCCTCAGAGTCTGGTTAGTAATATTGGAAATGGGAGTCCAAGGCAAAGTGGAAGCCATTTTAAACACCAGGTGCACATGATGCCTGATTAGCCCCCATATAGTCGAACAGCTGGGCATACATATGAACCCTCTTACACCTCCCATCAGCTTTGAACAAGTCGATGGGACACTAATTGGCCAAGGGCCTGCCTCCTTGGTCATTGAACCTTTCAGATTAGAGACAATCTGGCATTGAGAGCTCCTTTGATTCATAGTTGCGCCAAGGATGACAGACTCGGTCATATTGGAACTTGCATGGCTTGAGAAATGGGGTCCTACGATTTCGTGGGAAGGCAGTCACAGAAACTGATCATAGATGGTGAACCACTGCCAAGAGCAAGGCAGGACTAACTCATAGAAGCTACAACCCCTGAAGAAGGGAGGGGCCCAGAACCTGTAGCTCCGGCCCGAGATGCACCACCTGGGAACCAGCAGATACCAAAAGATTATCGAGATCTAGAGGGGGTTTTCAGTGAGGACGATTGCAATTATCTCCCACACTCATAGACCAACCGACTGCATGCTAGAGTTTGTGGCTGGGGCAAAACTGCTGAAACCTAAGTTGTACTCCATGACCCCTAGCAAGATGGCGGAATTAAAGAAATACATCGATGCCAATCTAAAGCAGGGTTTTATACAACCAGCAAAGTCAAAAGTAGAAGGCCCTGTTCTCTTCAAAAAGAATAAAGATGGGAGGGATGAGATTGTGTGTTGATTTCCGAGCTTTAATGTGGTTTGTGTGGAAAACACCTACCCTCTCCCCCTCATGAAGGACATGCTGAACCACTTAGCCAAGGGCAAGGTGTTCACCAAACTAGACTTAAGGGAGGCGTATTACCAAATACAAATCAGAGAGGGGGATGAGTGGAAAACTGCCTTCAACTACCCCATGGGTATCTTCTGGTTCATGCCGTTTGGCTTACAAGGGGCCCCTGCAGGCTTCATGCAATTCATCAACAAGGTGCTACATGAACACCTTTACAAGAGAGTGCTTGCTTATCTCAATGACATCCTCACCTTTATGGGACCCTGGAGGAACATGTAAAGCTGGTACAGCAAGTCCTGGAAAAACTTCTGGCCACAAAAATTCCACAAAACCTCCCTGGACTACCTTGGGTATCGAACTTCTGGTGAGGGAATAGAAATGGATCCAGGAAAGTGAAAGCGGTGCTAGACTGGCAACCTCCACATACCCACAAGCAGCTACAGAGTTTCCTGGGTTTTGTTAACTTCTATTGGTAGTTCATCCCGAATTTTGCAGAAGTCACTCTGGCCCTGACCAAGCTGCTAAAAACCAGGCCATTGCCAACAAAGCCCAGCCAGCCTATTGGGTGGACAATGGACTGTCAAAAAGCATTTGAAAAACAAAACAGCTCTTTGCCCAAGAGATCCAGGAAAGTGGATCTTTCTGCAACACCTAATCCAGAGTGGCAATTCATATTTAAAACAGATGTCAGTAATGTAGCTGTGGCAGCAGTGTTGTTGCTGAGAGACAAAGAAGGACAATTGCTACCATGTGCTTACGTCTCCAAAAAACTTACCACTACCAAACGAAGGTGGGCCATTTGGGAAAAAGAAGCTTATGCAGTTCGTTGGGCACTACTCACCTAGAGGGAGTTGCTGGAAGGGAGAAAATGCCATTTGAGGTGACCACAAAAACCTTGAGTCCCTAAAAAGCCCCTGAAAGCTGTCACCAAAGTAAGTTTGCTGGGCACAGTACTTCAGGAGATTTAAATTCAAACTGAAGCACATCCCCACAGGGAAGAACTTACTGGCTGACGCCTTATCAAGGAAACCGCAGTATGACAGTCATAGGGAGGAGGTGATCCATGCCATAATCCCTCCCAACCAACCAGCTGCTCAAGTCACCACCCGGGGACAAGGTGACCACAGCTATGAAATCAGCACTGCCAAATGACCCTTGACTAAATGACAACAAGGACATCCTGACAATGAGAGATGGCTTAGCCTGGAAAGGATCCAAATTGTATGTGCCTGTACGTTTGAGGCTAGAAGTACTACAGCGAAGCCACGACGCGAAGCTAGGGGGTCACTTTGGATTCCTAAAAATGTTCCACCTAACCTGATGTCAATTTTGGTGGCTGAAAATGAAAGCAGAAGTGGAAGATTACGTGAGAAGTTGTGCTACTTGTGCAACCATGAAAATACGGCCAGGCAAGCCTCCTGGATGACTGCAACATGTGGCAAGCCTGAACCAACCCTGGGAAGAAATTGTGATGGATTTCATCGTAGAACTCTCAGAAAGCAGAAGAAACAAAGTAATTTGGACAGTCATTGACTTATTTTTTAAGCAAACTCATTTAATTGCTTGCTCAGGATTACCATCCACAAAGAATCCAGCGAAGATGTTTGTTAAGCACATCTACTGCCTGCACAGAGTGCCAAGGAGAATCATCTCAGACCACAGAGTTCAGTTCACTGTCAAGTTCTGGAGGGAGTTCCTGAGGTCCATTGGCTCCACACAAGGATTTGGCTCGGCTTTCCATCCAAGCATGAATGGGGCAGCAGAAAGGACTAATGCGATGGTGGAACAATACATCTGTTGTTATGTGGATTACCAACAAGACAACTGGTCAGATTTGCTATCTTTCACTAAAGTCGCGTATCCCTTTTCAAGTTACCAGAGGCATGGAATTGGTCCCCATGCCTGAACTGCCCAGAGAGCCCCCCTCCTCCATGTCACTGATTGAATGGATGGATGCTCTTAAAAAGGGATGGGAGAATACGAAAAAAGCAGCAGAAGAGTACAAGAAGCAGATAAGCACCACTCGCTCCAACCCCACTTCCAAGTGGGGGACAAAGTTTTCTTATCTACTAAGTATATAAAGTTAAGGATGCCTAGTAAGAAATTAGGGCCTACATTTTTAGGTCCCTTCCCAATAGTGAAAATAATTAACCCAGTTACAGTTCAGCTTAGTCTGCCCAGAATTCTAGGGAAAATTCACCAAGTCTTGAATGCAGCTTGCTGAAGCTGGTGATAGGGTCCAACCTAAGACCATTGACTCAGCCTCCCCCTCCTCCAGTAGTGATAGAAGAAGAAACTCACTATCAAATTAAGAAAATTTTACACTCTAAATTGTATAGAGATCATTTGCAATATTTAGTACATTGGAAGAGGTACCATTTGTCTGAAGCTACTTGGGTGAAAAATTGGAATGTAAAAGCTGATAAGTTAGTGAAATAATTCCAGATAAATTTCCTGATAAGCCAAGATTGTTAGGTATACTTATGTTAATTCCAACATTATTCTCTTCTCAGGAAATACTTTTCTTCTGAGGAGAGGCCTCCTGTCAGGCAATAGCAATAGCAATAGCAGTTAGACTTATATACCGCTTCATAGGGCTTTCAGTCCTCTCTAAGTGGTTTACAGAGTCAGCATATC